TCTCTACTACTGTGTGTGCCAGTAATATTGAGGTAAAAGTCATATTTATATGTATATATTACAGGACAAATGTAAAGTACAACAAGGTAAAGGCAAGAAATTAAAATTTACACACTACCTGTATACACACTAGTATACACACTACCTGAACAAAGTCTTGTCGCCTATTCAAGTTTTAGGAACAACAAATAATAACTTGACTTCTAGTTGATCATTTGGTATCAGAAGTGGCTTATATGAAAGGCAAAGGCCTCTAGATTACGTTTATTTTACCAAAATAAAATATGATCGTGCCTTGATTTTTAATTATTTAATTAGGACAGTAACGTCTGACTTTGCTTAGACAAAAGTCTAGAATATAAAGTCATGGTGCAGTGGAGAAAGATTTAATATTGTGTATGACTCCCATGAGCTTGGAGGACTGCATCCATACATCTCTGCAATGACTCAAGTCACTTAATAATAAAGTCATCTGGAATCGCAAAGAAAGCGTTCCTGCAGGACTCCCAGAGTTCATCAAGATTCTTTGGATTCATTTTCAATGCCTCCTCCTTCATCTTACCTTAGACATGCTCAATAATGTTCATGTCTGGTGACTGGGCTGGCCAATCCTGGAGCACCCTGACCTTATTTGCTCTCAGGATCTTTGATGTGGAGACTGAAGTATAAGAAGGAGTGCTATCCTGCTGAAGAATTTGTAATGTAATGTAATGGGCAGCAGAAATGTCTTTCTCTGCAGATCTCTTGCAAGTCCCAATACTGAATGTAACCCCAAACCATGACTTTTTCTTCACCAAACTTGACTGACTTCTATGAGAATTTTGGGTCTATGGGAGACCCAATAGGTCTCTTGCAGTATTTTGGGATGCAGTTCAACAGATGATTCAGAAAAATCTATCTTCTGCCACTTTTCTAAATGATCAACTAGAAGTCAAGTTATTATTTGTTTCTCTTACAACTGGCCACAAGTTTTTAAAACTGATTGACGACAAGACTTTTGTCAGGTAGTGTATATTTATCAATATATAGTTCAATTTCACAAAAATTCTGAGAAATTTTTTAAATTTCATTTTATATTTTTTTGTTTCATAATAGTTTTTCAGGCAATTAAACTAAAATTCCACAATTACAATTGTACAATTAAAACTGAAAACATTTAAATATGAACTATTTTAAAAGATTTGGAACAAAGATAAACATTAGTAAAAAGTAATTTTTACATAAATTAAAAGGCTCCTATTTTTCTCATTTTTACACGCTGGTATGGTGTCTTATACATTTGCAAAGTTTCAGCTCATAATTCCAATCAGATCATGTGTTATACCCTGCATAAAATGTAAATTTTAAGAAGAAATTTTAGCTGTTTTGTGCCTGTGCCTTTAAATGCAAATGAGCTGGTCTCCCCGCCCACTCGAAGCAGGTTATCACCACCTGCTGTTCGGGCATGCTGCTTCAGAAGGATACCCAGCCAGCGTCAGACGTGGGGTTAATGGCAAAATAACAAACAGCAACCCAGTCACAATACCACAGTAAGAATAAACCTGGAAGTTTGATGTTGAGTACATGATGTAGTTATTGTGGGGTTTATAAAGCCTTACTGCAACAATGAATGAGCCACACACAATTGCCATTAAATAGTTTGTCTTGCGCACACCACTGACACAGCACACACATACACTTTTAACATTTACTTGCAGGCAAATGTGACAATGCCCACCATACAAGTAAATATATGCAGCTGTATAGAGATCTGTTATGTATGTTACTTTAAAATATGTCTGATTAAATGTATCTTTTTTTTGAGCAAGAAAAACAGAATGACGATCATACACATCATATACATTATTTACAGATTTAAATGCTCATTAATTCTGACAATAAATCTTTCAAAGATCATGATGACAAAAAGTCATCTGAGTGTGTGAGAAAACTTCACCATGACCCAGACTCGAGAAATTCACGTCATAGCTTGTTCTAAAATGAGGAACTTGAAAACCCATCAGCTGAAGCTCAAGAATGAGATGAGTTCTAGACAGTCTCAGGAACTTGCAAAGAGGCTTTAGGTTAGTCTGAATGTATTTAATACATGTTTCGTCAGGCTTAAATCTTCTGACTGACTCTTGCTGAAGATGTAGCAATCAATACTGAAATCTTTTCACTATGGAGTTATGACTGTTTAGTAGAAAATTAAGGGTGTGTTCACACTTGTTTGCAACCGAACATCCAAAACTATGCTGTGTGCAGGCCAGGGCTAAACGCTCTCTCTATGTGATATTTATATCAGGTGAAAACTTGTGAAGAAGTAAAATGTGTCAGATCAGTGATTCTCACACTAAACAGACAAACAAACAAACAAACAAGCAAATATCTGCTGCAAGGTGTATATATATATATATATATTAGAGGTGTGAACCTATACTGGTCTCACGGTTCGGTTCGGTTACGATTATCATGCCTTCGATTCAGTTCAATTCGATATCTCGGTGCATCACGGTGCATTGACGATGCTTTCCATATACAGTGTTATATTTAAGGGGGGAGGCTATAACAAGCTGTCTGTATAAACACACAGACACACAGCTCCACACTGTCTCTCATTCAAACACACACAAACATAGACAGCACAAAACAAACAAACAAACAAACAAACAAACACACACACACAACCACAAACACTTAAGCCCTTGCAACAGGGAGAGCTCGCGCTGAGCGGAGCAGAAAAACGACAAAACCAAAAAAAAGAAGCACTTTTCCGACGGTCCCTTACTGAGAGCTCCTCTCAGTGCGAGCTCTCCCGGCTAAACACATATTGCGAGGGCTTAAACAGAGCAGTGCTCGTAATGTCGAGCGAAAAAAAAAAGAAAGACAGCTGTGAAACATAACCAGCTTTGTCTTTTTGTAGGAAACGCACTTCAGATCTTTTTAGGGTAAGAGGTTTTTGAGTTATTGCCGTCTATAACTGAATGTGTGTCAGGAAAATCGAAAACAAAACCAACTGAAGCGCGCTCATTTCTGGCGCCCCCCTGGATGTACAGCGGCCTTAGCATATGCCTATGGTGCCTATGCCACGGGTCGGGCCTGAGTTGGCTGAGTGTTGTAAATACTCGCGCTCACCTCCCTCGCGACAGAGCGCATAGGAGATAAATGACGTCAATACATAAAAACCGGCTATGATTATGATGTTTTTGGTATTTTACTTAGACCTTGAACGTCTTGGGACTATTGCTGTCTCTGAAAGACGAAAGAGTAGGAGATCTAATTTTGTGCTCTGGAGATGAATGAAGGGGGATCTTATGGGTTTTGAATGTCGCAAGGGTGAGTATTTAATAACATCATTTTCATTTTAGTGGGAACTAACCATTAGGACAGGAATCATCATGGGCTGGTGGTAATTAACAAGTACTTCAGAAGTTAGGATGAAAATTAGGCCACTAGTAATTTTGCTCACTTCAAATGACTTTAGAAATTTCTCAGTTTCAGTGCTCTGTGTGGCCTTGGTCATCTTGTCTCTCACCTGTGTCATCCTGATCTCCACTATTGAGTTTTCCAGTAATATTACATTTGTGAAATTGTGCACTATAGTAATTGATATTTTTGTCTAAATGTGAAACTAGACATTTATTTCACTGAATTGGCGACTGTCAAAGGTCAGGAAAAGGGTTTGAATTTCCTTCTTACTAGGAAAAACATTAGTGCTCCATTTGGGACGACACTACATACATAGACTATAATTTTAAGTGTGTAAGTGCATAGTACATAGTGTATAGTGTGCTAATTGAGACGCAGCTATAAACTATTTTAAAATAAATAATATTAGGGTCAAAGATGAAAGATGTATTGAGTAAAATATATAGGCTTATTAAGGTAGCATTCAGAAAAAACAAAACACCAGCGAAGAAATGAGACACAGAGGAACATAGACACCTACTGCCAGCTAGTGTTTCGAAAGTGTTATTGCAGAGCAACACAAACAGCGCCCAGAAGTATAAATCCACGGCTAGACGAATTGTATGCGCCGTGGGTCATGCCGATCACTCGACACAGAAGTATAAACCAGGCTTTAGGCACTTGGCCTGCAGCCTAGAGCCAACAAACGCCTCCATCCAGTGCCGATATACACCCATGTCGCACTGCTAATGTGATATTGCTCATATATATGATTTTTTTTCTGAACACACACACACACACACATTTTTAAGAACTCTGTTATAGTTTCATTTAAGTTTATTACGTTATTATTGAGGGAGTCACACCATTTAAAACCTCAGTTTCCCTGTAATGCAAACATTTAAGGAATAGTTCACGCAACACTGAAACATTTCACAACATTTACTCCCTCTTTACTTTTCACAAACATGTTTGAGTTTCTTTCTTCTGTTGAACGCAAAATAAGATGTTCTGAAAAATCTTGAAAACTGGCGGTAACCATTAACTTCCAAGGAATTTGCTCTCTGCACTATGGATGTCAGCAGTTTCCAACATTCTTCAGAGTATCTTCTTTTGTGTTCAACAGAAGAAGAAAAAAAAACATCAATCAGGTTTGTAAACACTTAAGGCTGAGTAAATAGTAAGAAAATTGTTCATTTCCATAACTTTATTAGGCTTTTACTATATTTATAATGACTATAATGTTGTAAAGCATTGTGAAATTAAGTAATGGGTTAGCTTAATATTCTCATTAGGACGCAAAAGCAAAACATAAGAGGGTGGCAGTAATTACTGACCTGAGAGTAATTACGCCAATGTGTGTGTGTTACGCCAACACACGCCTGTTGTTTTCTTGCTTACATTCATCATACCGTATCCTCACACACACTTATCTATTTCATTCATTCACGTATCTATGATTTCTGTCGACCACCAGTGTGCAAGTCTGCATTACTACGAGTCTTCATGAAAATCCCAGAGAGACCCACGCCCCACGCATTAGTCATTGTTTCCATCAGAAGACCATCCCTACCACTTTCAGAAGGAGGAACCCTGAAATGAAAACGTCTTACCATATTTAGATTCTGGGTTTTTCTCTTCTGGCTCCATTGCAAAGATATGATGCGCACTTGTGGCAGTCAATTAAATCTCTGAGGGAATCGTATTGCCGTCGCTTAGTCTTGTGAGGAACTGGCCATCAGTAATTCCGCTGCTCTACAGTGGAAGTGTATGGCAGGAACGTAACAGTACAGACATGACGATGTGTTTCGTTTTTTTCGAGCGTGTCAGGGTTGAATCCGCCAATCAGAAGAGCGGAAAAAATGATAGGCAGTCGCGTCAGCCAATCAAAACACACAAACGCGACTGAAAACTGATGATGCACATGAAGAAATCAGAAATTCTGTTGCAAAACTCTGCGTTTAATTTTGCAAAACAAAGATGACACACAAAGATTGCCTATGTTCGTATAACAATCAAATGTTTGATGTTATTTTGGTTAAAATATTTTGTATAATGAATTTATGATGAGCTTAGAATGGAAGTTTCTATCAAAACTAGACTGTTTGACGTGAGAAAAGCAGCACATTCATTGAGTTCGATGGAAATGCCAGGTCGGTTCCTAGAAATCCTAATTAAATGAACGTTTTATTAACACTTGCCAAATGTGACACTCTCTGATTGTCATCATGAATAATGCAATAAACAGAATCATGTTTCACACCTGGTGACAAAGTTGTGCATTTTCTTTGTGAGCCAGTTCCTTTACTAAAGCTTTTAAAATTCACCTCATTTAATTGACAACAAATAATAATACTAATTAAAAACAATGGTGATAATAACAACAACAATAATAATAATAATAATAATAATAATAATAATAATAACTAGAATTGTACATTTCCTAAAGGAAATGTGAATGGGGTTTGCGTGGCAAATCGATGGGGTACAATGTATTTGTTTTGGTAGCTAGGGTATTCTGAATGGTTGCTAGGGTGTTCTGAGTGGTTGCTAAGGTGTCCTAAGTGGTTGCTAGGTGGTTGCTAAGGTGTTGCTAGGCGGTTGCTAGGGTGTTCTGAGTGGTTGCTAAGGTGTTGCTAGGCGGTTGCTAAGGTGTCCTAAGTGGTTGCTAGGTGATTGCTAAGGTGTTGCTAGGTGGTTGCTAGGGTATTCTATGTGGTTGCTAGGCGGTTGCTAGGGTGTCCTGAGTGGTTGCTAGGTGGTTGCTAAGGTGTTGCTAGGTGGTTGCTAGGGTGTCCTGAGTGGTTGCTAGGTGGTTGCTAAGGTGTTGCTAGGTGGTTGCTAGGGTGTCCTGAGTGGTTGCTAGGTGGTTGCTAAGGTGTTGCTAGGTGGTTGCTAGGGTGTTCTGAGTGGTTGCTAGGCGGTTGCTAGGCGGTTCTTAGGGTGTTCTGAGTGGTTGCTAGGTGGTTGCTAAGGTGTTGCTAGGTGGTTGCTAGGGTGTTCTGAGTGGTTGCTAGGCGGTTGCTAGGCGGTTGCTAGGGTGTTCTTAGTGGTTGCTAGGTGGTTGCTAAGGTGTTGCTAGGCGGTTGCTAAGGTGTCCTAAGTGATTGCTAGGTGGTTGCTAAGGTGTTGCTAGGTGGTTGCTAGGGTATTCTATGTGGTTGCTAGGCGGTTGCTAGGGTGTCCTGAGTGGTTGCTAGGTGGTTGCTAAGGTGTTGCTAGGTGGTTGCTAGGGTGTTCTGAGTGGTTGCTAGGTGGTTGCTAGGCGGTTGCTAGGGTGTTCTGAGTGGTTGCTAGGTGGTTGCTAAGGTGTTGCTAGGCGGTTGCTAGGGTGTCCTGAGTGGTTGCTAGGCGGTTGCTAAGGTGTTGCTAGGCGGTTGCTAGGGTATTCTGAGTAATTGCTAAGGCGTTGCTAGGCGGTTGCTAGGGTGTCCTGAGTGGTCGCTAGGCCCTTACTAAGACGTTACTAGGCGGTTGCTAGGTGGTTGCTAGGCGGTTGCTAGGGTAATTTGGGTGGTTGCTAGGCAGTTGCTAGGGTACCCTGGGTGGTTACTAGGCAAGCCTCACATACTTTTCTGATGAAATATTTATACTTAGTAAGCATTTCTAGCAAGTTACAGTACATGGCTAGTCAATATTAGCATGTAGCTAGTCACTGCTAGCATGTGTAGCATATAGGAAGTTCCGTTTGCTAGCATGAGTCAAACGAGCCAATCCCCAAGTCTCTACGATGTTCTGATGCTGAGATATAGCTGTTGATGAATGGTTGCTAGGGTACTCTGTTTTGTTGCTATGGGTGAGGTTACAGAGTGAGCTTGAATGTGGTTGGCTGTCTAAGTCAAAAGAACCAACCCCCATCTCTCTATGACAGTGCTATGCAAAGATATGCATCTAGGCCTATTTTAATGGAAGTCTATGGAATCAGTTTGGGGGCGTGGCTTGTGAGCTTCATTATCATATTGAGATGCTCATTGGTTGTCTTAGTCAGATGAGCCATCCCCAAGTCAATAGGACATTGCTAAGCAAAGATATGCATGTAGGCCAGCTATAATGGCAGTCTATGGGATCAATTTGGGGGCGTGGCTTGTGAGCTTCATTATCATATTGAGATGCTCATTTGTTGTCTTAGTCAGATGAGCCAACCCCCAAGTCAATAGGACACTGCTAAGCAAAGATATGCATGTAGACCAGTTACAATGGCAGTCTATGGGACCAGTTTGGGGGCGTGGCTTGTGAGCTTCATTATCATATTGAAAAGCTCATTGGTTGTCTGAGTAAGATGAGCCAACCCCCAAGCCAATAGGACACTGCTAAGCAAAGATATGCGTGTAGGGCAGTTATAATAGAAGTCTATGGGACCCATTTGGGGGCGTGGCTTGTGAGCTTCATTATCATATAGTGATGCTGATTGGTTGCCTGAGTCAAATGAGCCCACCCCCATGTCTCTATGACACTCCTATGTAATGTTATAGATGTGTGACCTTTATAATGGAAGTCAATGGGATCTGCAATGGGACATCCCACCCCATGTTAAGTCAATGGGGCAGTTAGAGGGGTCTTTAAATGGTCTGGGGGGGCGTGGCTTGTGAGCTTCAAAATCATAATGAGATGCTGATTGGTTGCCTGAGTCAAATAAGCCCACCCCCAAGTCAGTATGACACTGCTATGTACTGTGATTGACATATGACATTTATAATGGGAGTCAATGTAATGAATGGAAGTCAATGGCCAATGTAAAGTCAATGGGGACCACTTTGGGACGTCCTAGCACCCCAGGGGAACAGCCTATACCCCCTTTCGGGGTATGTTCTCACTTAGGCTGCAACCCCCTACAGATGTTGTGAATCCCATATTTCTATGAAATTCACAATGGACGCAGTGATTGGTTAAAGTTCGGCTCCATGTAAAGTCAATGGAGACTTTGGGACGTCCTAGCTCCCCAGGGGTACAACATTTACCGCCTTTCGGGGTGTGGTTTGAAGCCTCCTATAACCCTCTCGAGATGTCGCGAATCCTATGTCTCTACAAATTTCGCTGTTGGCGCTACGGCGATTTCCGGGAATAGTATCTTACGAGTGTCTAGAAAATGAATGGGAGTCAATGGGGCCCATGTAAGTCAATGGGGACCACTTTGGGACGTCCTAGAGCCCCAGGGGTACAACTTATACCCCCTTGCGGGGTATGTTCTCACTTAGGCTGCAACCCCCTACAGCTGTTGCGAATCCCATATTTCTACGAAATTCACACTCGGCGCTGTGATTCTTCAAAGTTCGGCTCAATGTTAAGTCTATGGGATTTTTGGGGGGGGGTTTTTGGCCCCTGCGGGGCCAAAAAACCCCCCACCCCTTATAAAAGTCATAGCACACCATTCCCGATAAGACCGCACGATTTGAGCCCACTTTCAAGGGTCTGGGACGAAAGCTGCGGGACTAGTTACGCGCCGAAAAATAGGACGGAAGAAGGAAGAAGAAGAAGAAGAAGAAGGAAGAAGAATAATAAACCAGGCACAATAGTAAGAATGGACTTTGCCTATGGCAAACCCCATTAATAATAATAATAAGAAGAAGAAGAAGAAGAAGAAGAAGAAGAAGAAGAAGAAGAGGAGATAAGTGAAAGAAGAAATAAGTTTAAGTAATAGACTAATGATGTGTGTGGTAATGGGGTGGGAAAATAATAAGCTTGGCTTAATCCCACTCCATTTTTGACTATGTTGAAATGTATTATTATTATTTATTTATTTATTTTTTTTTTTTGCATGATATTTCTGTTCGAAATAAATTAAATCAAATAAAAATAATAACACTACGGGTCAAAAGTTTGGTGTCTGTAAGATTTAAAATGTTTTAAAATAAGCTTATTCTGCTCACCAAGGCTGCATTTATTTAATCAAAAATACAGTAGAAATTGTAAAAATCATTTTTTTTTTCAAAAGTAGCTTATAATTTAATTTAATAATTTATTCCAGCAATTTTAAAGATTAATTTTTAGCTTCATTAATCCAGTCTTCAGTCACATGATCCTTCAGTAATCACTCTAATATTTATAATAATAACACTAATATAAAAATAATAAGAAAAATAATTATTATTATTAATGCTAATAGTAATAAAAGCAATAATGACTGGAGTGTTAATTTAATTTGAAACTACATACAGTAAGAAAGCAGTTATATATATTTTTTTTACATTTAATAAATGCTGCCTTGATGAAAATAATTTTCTTAAGAAGCATGAAAAATAACTGAAAATAGTATATATAAAATGAATGTTCACAAGATCCTAAATTTTTATTTATTGTATTGATTTAAAAAATATCGCCCCCTAACTTGGTAAAGAAGAACATGAGCTGTTAAAAATTTCCCCAAACTAAAGCAACATTTTGCATTTTTACTGCCCTGCGTTTTACTTCATTTTTTCATCAATATATTTTTATTATTTTCACATCAATAACTTACAGAATCTTTTCAGTATACATGTAAACATTCTTTTTTAACCTCCCTCCACTCTTTTCCCACCCTTACATGACAGAACACTTAAATGGACATTATTGTGAGACACCGAGCTGATGTGTAAAATAAGAGGAAATAAACAAGTAAACAAACAATGATGACAAATAAAAGATTAAATCAATGTAGAGTCATAATTTTCCATCAGCATTTTCAGTCAATGTAACATCCAAGTTATTCATGTATTCAAAAAACTTTTACCTCAAGTCTTTTCAAACATTGATGAGGTTTTTTTTTTTAATTAAACTTTTTTTTTTTCAACAGGAACAGGGCAAAAGTTCTATAAGCCATACAATATGACTTGGTGGTTCTACTAATTTCCATTGTATTGCAATGCATTTCACAGCCATTTTAATTAAATGTACATTTTTCCTTTGATCGAGTCCCCCGGTAACACAAAGCTTGGCTCAGGTGAAAGGTTAACATTAGCAATTTTGCTAATAATTTGTGCTATATTTCTCCAATAG